TAAGGATTTAGGGTTTAGGGTTTTTCGTATCAAGGCAGCTTCCCTTTCAAGCAGCTACGGTATCTCTCCAAGAGCTCAGTCCAGTCACTACATGGGGTTCTTATTTGGCACAGCCACTGCGGCGTTTTTCCCATGTCGGGGCATGCAGTACTTTCTGATTCAGGCTCGAAGGAACAAGACGAGATCTAGAGGGCTATGACTCTTGGTGGCGTGAGGACGACATCCTGATCATCGCAAACTGCAGTAGGAAGGGGGGGAGCGAAGACTGCAGGGTACAAAGGTTGAAGCGTCTTCCGGGAGGTCGTTTCATGTCGTTGAGAGCGAGCTTTAGCTTCTACGGTTCTGGTGGGAAACTTTTGGAGCCTGCAGGTTCCGGAAGTAGCGGACTCTCAACTGAGGAACCATCTGACAGGCAATGTGCGCTCTGCCCACCAGAAGCTAAGGAGACCAAGGCACGGGATCTCGTCGGAGGGATTTGCCCCTACCCTCCAACTCTGAGGCTTCGGTCGAGGCGGCGGCAAGGTGTTGGGTTTAGGGTTTAGGGTGAATGCAGAGCCGGGAGGTGGTGAGAGGTTTACAATCCACTGTGATCCAACCGCAGAATAATAGCAGTCGCTGCAAGGATGGCGGCGACAGCAGCAGCAGCAGCTAAAGCACTAGAACTGCCAGAAATTGGTCAGCGCTTCTGATCGTCCGCGACAGTCATACTATCATGAGTTCTTCTTGCGACAAATGCTGTAGTCACAAAATTGCTTGTTTTGAGATGCCTGTTTGTACTTACCAGCGCTGATGCGAGCTGTGAGCACAACCAGCATTGGCATGTGCAATGTTCTGCCGCAAATAGTTAGTCTCATCACGAATCACATTGCTACCCGATGTTTTAAGACCTTCCTTCTCCTACTGCTACTACGACGACGATGATGACGACCACTACAACTACCACTATGACTACAACCACGACTGTCATTACAGATACGACGACCTCCAAAAAGAAAAACAACTACAGCTACTACGACTTGCCACGGCTACCACGACTACTACGACGACTACGACTGCCCGACGACGACGACGACGACGACGACGACGACGACGACTACTTCTACTACTACTGCGACGACGACTACCACCACCATTGCCACTACCAGCGCCAGTGCCACTGTCACTACCACTACCACTACGACTACTAAGCCTACGACAAGCAGCAAAGGACAACAACGGCAATCTGACCGAAAACTGAGGCGCAGGGCGCTGCACTGCCGACGCCTCGGCTACCGCGGATCGAGTGGGTCACACCTCGCCCAGGTGAGTAGTCGCAAGGTCCATCGGGGTTGCGTGTTCGGGAAAACCCAGACGCGCTTGACATCTTTCCGGTCAACACTTCTTCCCAGCATGACTGGAATCTGATCCTGTGTAATGAGAAAACTTGTTCAACATGAGAGAGCCCAGCCACCTCGGGCCACGTGTGCGGAGATGGCACAGATCAGCAGCGGCAGTCTCCGCCAAGCCCCTTGAGCAGCCCGGCAATGGCATTGTCACAGAATTCTACTTGGATCAGGCCCTGGGTACTACCACGAACATTGCAACAGTCATGGTGCCGAGGACTTCATTGGTAGGGCTCAAAGCCAAGTCATATGTTGTGAGCCTCTACCATTGCGGCACACCGTAGAATCAAGCTTTTTGTCGACATTATGACAAGCAGTCATGTCACATTCACGACAACACCACGCAACAAGTTCGAGAACGACGGAGTCTATTTCATGAGCAAAGAAACACGCCCAAGTTGCCTAGCCACGGAACCACGACAGTCGACTGGACCCGGCATCACAGATAGTTGCTCATTGAAAACCTCAAGATAACGCCCTGCCTAAACCAGTCGAAACTGTGCCTGCACGGCTGCAGCTAACGTGTGTCTTGTCTTACTGCAGGTTGGCGAGCCACCTCGAACCGCAAAAGACTTCATTGCCATAGCCCCTGCAGCAGGGCTGGAACTTCAGGAGTTGGCTTGCAACGCATAGTCTACATCGCCGCATCATCCTGCCTCATCGCTTGAGCTACGACTCGGCATGATCATGCTCCTCATCGCATAGCAACAGCATCACCAGCAGTAGCGGTAGTGACCTGAAGCCAGCCTTTTGTCAACAGCAAAATGTACCATCAGCATCACCACTCTAGCCACACACATGTTTCATGAAGCTTTGCGCGGTCATCCTCACCATCATCAACTTCAACAACATCAGCATCATCATCATCGGCAGCATCATCAGCATCAGCGGCACAATCAACATCACCGTCAACATCCACACCACGATGCTTATCATACGCAAAAACTAACAGCATGACAGCATTGTCACTATAGCCACTTCATGAACGAGATCGCCATCAAGATCTCCTGCCTCAGCATCGCCACAGTCATCGGCACCACCATCACCTACATCATCAATCTCACCCTCAGCACCCTCATCTTCTACTACTAGCACAACCATCAACAACAACAAAACACAGCTGTATCAACAAAAAACGAACTGCTGCTGCGTTTGCTATTGCTACTGCCACTGCCACTAACTGCCACTGCCACTCACTGTGACTGCCACTGCCACTGCTACTACGACTACGACTACCACCACCACTGCTGCTACTCTTGCAACTACCACCGCCACCACCACCAGCACCACCACCACTACTACTACTACTCCTGTTGCTGCTGCTGATACTACTACTACTACTACTACTACTACTACTACTACTACTACTACTGCTACTACTACTACTACTACTACTACTACTATTACTACTACTACTACTACTACTAGTCCTGCTGTTACTACTACTACTACTACTACTACTACTACTACTCCTTCTGCCTCTACTGCTACTACTGCTACTACTACTACTACTACTACTACTACTACTTCTACTACTGCTACTACTACTACTACTACTACTACTACTCCTACTACGGCCACGACTACTACCACCACCTACGACAAGTACTACTAATAATACTACTACTACTACTACTACTACTACTACTACTGCTACTGCTACTACTACTACTACTACCACCACCACCTACGACCACTACTGTTACTACTACTACCACCACCAACACCACTACCTACTACCTACTACCCACGACCCACTATCTACTGCCGACTACTGACTACCGACCAGCGACCACCTACTACCTGCTTACCTACTATGTACTACCCACTGGCTCCTACCTACCTAGCTGCCTACTACCTACTACCTGCCGCCTACCTACCTACCTGCCTGCCTGCCCCAGTACTACCTACTTACTGCGCGTTACTACCTACTACTTCCTGCTACCACCCGCTTCCCCCTCCTCCTGCTGCTACTTCTACTTCTACTGCTGCTAGTGCTACTACTACTACTACTACGTACTACTACCACTACTACTACTACTACTACTACTACTACTACTACTACTACTACACGCGATCGCGACTTACAAGATTGCCGTTCAGGTCTACAGGGTTCAACCATGGCAAAGTCGTCAACTCCCCAAGTGCCCCGAATTGCCTGTCGCCGGCAGGGCGATACAGGCTGAGGGTGAGCCACAGTGCGGCAGTGGTGCGGTCGATTGCTAAGTAGAGGGAAGCATTGCAAGCTGCAGCTTTGGCTAGACGAAAAGATGGGAAACCTTTATTGACCACCAGGGCAGCTCTGCAAGTGGAACATGGCACCCACTCGCGCGCATTTCGTTCTCCGCACATCAGCTTGTCATTAGCCAGGAATGCATCGTTGAGCGGTGTGCTAGTGCTGCTAGTACACAAAGCCATTTCAGACACCTTCGGCTGAGAAATGATATGTGCCAGCTGCATTCATCGTCCACCAGCCAAGAGATCTAACTGAACAGCTGGGACAATAGAACTGTTCAAGTTCGAGGCTGGTTTACAGCCCTCAAGGCAGTTCAGAAGCATCACTCAGGAGGAGTCGCTCTCCACCTCACTTTCGATGTTGTCCGGGTTAAGTGATACATCGACATGACGCAAAGAAGTTTGCGCAGGATAGATGTCATTCCCCATCTTCTTCTTCATCGTCTTCTTAACATACTCGTTGTAGTGTCCGATGTTGGTGACATCCACAGGGGAGTCCGAAATGAGGAACTTCACTGTGGCCTGAAGCATGAGGATCGCATGCTCGAAAATCAAGAAGAACATCAGCTGGATGCCAAACGGCCTGGTACAGTCGATCCAATTG